TTTGTTACTTAAATATTTAATAGTATTGTTCAAAAACGTGTTACTTGCCTCAAAATAACAAAATGAAACAGAGACCAAGAAAGTTCATGAAGTAATTTTTTTTAAAGTTTGTTTTGTTTTGTTTTTTTGAGATAGGGTCTCACTGGATAGTCAGGCTGATCAGGAACTCACTATGTAGTCCAGGCTGGTCTCAAACTCATGGCAATCCTCCTGCCTCAGCCTCTTGAGGGTTGGGATTATAGGTTGTGCCACCACACCCAGCTATACAATAATTTTTGAAACTAATAAACATGGAAGTAACGTGTTATTCTCTTGACATATTTAAAATTTCCCATTCATTAAAAATTACTTTTTTAGAAAACCTGCTAAATACTTTGTATTCTTTCAAATGACATAACTTGGAGGACAGGGCACATTTGTAAACATAATTTAATTACAGTACTTCACCACAGTCAATGTGGTCTACATTTCTTTTTAATAAAGCATCCCTACATCAGCAGTATCAACCATCATGCTTTCTAGGAGAAGAAAATCACAAAGGAATTTCTCCCCAATGCTAGCTTCTAACCCAACCAGCAAATGCCAAATCATTTAGGAAGGGCCTCCATGAGATCACTGAGCACAGGTCAAGACAGCAGAGTGACCCCCCCAAGACAAGTGTCCCACATAGAAACCCACTGACAGGCTTGCCTTGTGTAAGCAGGCAACTAACTGGACCCTGTCAGCACTGGTGTGGAAAGTTTCAATGTCCATGTAGAAGATATCCAGAGTGCAACATGAGTAAGAGCCTGCTGTCCCATTGGGGGTGTTTAGCTTTAGCCAGGGAAATCAACACCAGTTTGTGCCAGGGTTCTGACTAAGAAAAGCCAAGGAGCATGCTGAGGATGGAAGAATTGTGGCCGTGGGAATAGATCCCAAACTCAAGGCAAAAGGCATGAATTACAAACTCCAGAGCCAGGGATAGAGGCACTGCCTACCCTGCAATGACCAACATCACAGGACAAAGACAGAGAACTATGCTGGGCAACCTAGGCACTGAGCTTTTGAGCCTGCTTCAGGCAGTGGGCCCAGGAAGAATGGGGAGGTTCCACCCCTTAGTTCAGAAAAGTTAAAAGTGCTACCCAGCATCCAGAGTCCACCACTCATAGACCAGGGACAATGCAAATGACCCCAGGCTGGGCCAGGACCAGCTATACTCATTTCTGTAGGCAGACAGGGCAGCCCTCCTTCCTGTGTAACAGCAATTATCACACTCTGGTGTGGCTAAACACTCAGTACCAAGAAACCCTAGACCTCAAAAAAACCCTGTCCCAAACCAGAAGAGCTTCCTTAAGGTGGGTTGCAGAGAAGCTGGAATCCAGGGAAGAGAAGCTGTAGGAATAATTCTCATATTCATTCTCTCTTTCTCTTTCTCTCTCTCTCCCTCTCTCTCTCTCTCTCTC